ATTGCAAAAATGTACTACTTACATCTTGCAAGTAAGCTTACTAATAAAACTAAACTTACTAATAAAATTATATAAGGTTGTCAAATATCTCCCTTCCGCCTTTTTGTATTATAAACCAAGAGCAAAAAAGCGGAAGGGAGATATTTGACAACCTAATATATATATTTTTTCTGGTGCCAACTTTACCAGCACTTTTTTTTTCCTTCCTCCGCCAAAATTTATGTGTTGATTTATGACGATCGGAGAGAAATATGCCACTTGTATGTATACCACGCATGCACAAAAGGGGGGGGCTCACGTGGGGCTCAAATGGGCTCATAGATCGCGAGAGACGCCGCCACCGCCGCCACTGTTGTATATTATTAGACGTCGCCTCATCCAATAGAAGCGAAATGAATGATGAATGTACGACGAGGATATTTTTCTTTTTTTTTTGTTTTGTTTCGGAGCCGTGATCTGGTTAGGAATTGTTTTATTTGTTGGGCACAGCAGTTTGGTTAACAAGATGATTTAGAGGTTAGGTTTATAGAAGGAATTGTCAGTTTGTATGAAATGTATGTGTTTGCATTTAATTTTAATAAATTGTATTAGATGTTATCTGGTCAAGGTATACGTACAGTATGAATAAATTTTTATAACTAGCTAGTTTTGTACCTATACTAGGGTGAGAAATGGTTTTATTATGTCAGGAGAAAAAGATGGATAAATAAAATTTGTGAGGCTCGAACATGCCGCCACTTTTGAAAAAACAATGGGAAACTCATTTGTATGGAAAATTTAGGGGTCTATTTTTGGCTGAAATAGGTAATGGTATATTACGGGTGGATAATCGTATGAGTTCGTTGATAGGAAGTGTCAAAGAGCTGTGCGATCAGGCACTTTACACATAAAACCTAACCTCCAAAACTAACAATAACAATTTTATCATAAGTGCAACTTTCTGACAACACTTTGATAACACATACGTGAAGTATGATGTTCTAAAACTCTGGGCGAAGTACTTTTAGAACATAGTACTTAATGCATTTTTCTTACATTTTTTAATGCGACAAAAATGTTCTGCAAAAATTTACAAAAAAGCGACAAAAATGCTCCAGTAAATTCACAATCTAAACGCACTTGCAAATACTTTTATGCGAGCTTGTTACTTAGACTGTGCTTATCCCGTGCGAATTTTCATGTTTTTCAATAACTTTCACAAAAATAAAGAAGTGGTGCTCACTTATACTGTGCTTATATACTTTTTTAACATTTTTCTACACTTTCCAATCCGAAAAATGTTCTGCAATATTTTTAAAAAGAATTGAGAAAGTGCTCCTGTTGAGTCACAATCTAAACGCACTTGCAAACGCATTTGTACCAGGTTGCCACTTAGACTGTGCTTCGATAGTTTTTTCAAACATTTTTCTATCAAACCGACAAAAATATTCTGCAATAATTTGTAAAAAATTGAAAAAGTGCTCCCGTAATTTAACATTCTAAACCCATTTGCGAATACATTTGTTCGACCATGTCACTTAGACTGACCTTATTCTGGGTGAATTTTTTAAATTTTCAATAATTTTCATGAAATTGGAAAAGTGTTCCAGTAAATTCTCATTCTAAACACATTTGCAAATTCATTTGTTGGACATTGTCACTTAGACTGTCCTTAGCTTGGGTATTTTGTCGCATTTTTACCTGAAAAAAAAATGTTTTGCTTCACACATGATTGCAAAAACACTCCTATAATATCTATTTGTTATTTGTACCTTTTGGAGGTTAGGTTTTATGTGTAAAACTATGATCCCACAACTATAGCTTTTGTCACTTAGAATGTGTTTAGCCCTCGTATTTCGACACATTTTTAGGGTTTTGTCGGTTACGAGCTTTATGACAACTTGTATTTTTATATCCAACAAATGAAAAAATGTTTTTAAAATATTTTAATTCTGTTAAATTATTATTTTTTTGTTCTACTAAATGGCACATAAATAATTATCAATAAAATTGAACAGTAAATGATTTTGGTCAAAAACTACTTCCAAATTTTCTGTTAAAATTTTTTTTTGGAACTATTTGAGTAAATAATTTTTCTTAGGAAAACTCTTAAACTTCTTAAACACGTTAAAAATTTTTGTTTGAATTACTTGAGAAAATTAGCGAATAGTCTTTAATTAAGAAAACTCTAAATTGAAAAAATACTATTCGAAAACAGGTTTTCCAAAATATACCTAAAACACCTAAAAGACTCTAAACAGATTAAAACCGTTTTTTTAAATAGAAATTAGTAATATTTTAATAGTTTTTAATCAATCGGAATTTTTTGTAGAATTCTGTTTGAATTATTCGAGTAAATAGATTTTTTAAAAAAAACTTTAAACCGGTTTTAAAAAATACTAATTGAAAACCGGTTTCTTGAAATTATTCATTCGAAAACTGATTTTTTAAAGTAATACTTTTTTAAAAAGACTCTAAACCTTTTTTTTCTATTCGAAAAGCCGGTTTTCTTAAATGTTAGTTTTTGGTGCTTTCACTTGAAATTATTTGCTAATTTTGTTTGTTTCTATTATTTGAAAAAATAGATTTTTTTAGAACTCTAAACCGGTTTAAAAAAATACTATTCGAAAATCGCTTTCTCAGAAAATGCCATTCTAAAACAGGTTTTCTAAAGCAAATACATTTTTAAAAAGACTCTAAACCGCTTTTTTCAGTTGAAGAACCGGTTTTTCTAAATGTGAATTTTTGGTGTTTTCAATCACTCTACATATTCTCTTAAATTTTTTTGTTATGACAACTTATCTATACCGGTTATTAAAAAAATACTAATCAAAAACCGGTTTTATCAAAAAAAAATCCAAAGCCGGTTTTCTAGAATATCGATTTTTGTATAAACCCTAAAGAAAATGAATCAGCTTTTTATAAATAATTAAAATACTTCTGATTTTTTAAATTTATTAATTTAAAAAAAATAAATAAATAAATAAAAATCCATTATTAACCAACAGTTTCATCTTTATATATTTCTCAATAAACAGTACACAATCTCTTAAAACTTATCTCTTAAATTTCTTTATCTTATTTAATAAAGTATAAACAAATATTTATTTATTCCAAAACACATTATTTTTCAAATTTTTTTTTGTACAAGATATGTCTTAATTAATATATGGCAGGATTAGATTTTAGCTAATAGTAGCTAAATCTAATTTATAGATAATTTATAGATAGATATGCACAATAGATATTTGAACACAGTAATAATAGTTTGTGAATTTATTTACAAATTATATATGTATATATAATTAATATAAGAATTGCAATCGCAACTTTGGATAATTTTGTATAACTATATAACTAAACTTAATTCATTTTTTAATGTTACAAAAAGTTTTTGAATTCCAATTTTTTTGTAATATTTATTGGTTTTCTTTAAACATTTTCAAAATTTTGTTTAATTTTCAATTTTCGTAACTTAGACATTTTTTCTTAATACATTTTACAATCAACATTTTTAAATCAATTTGCAATATTCAATATTAATTGTTAAATAATTTAGAGAATACAAAAGGACTCTACTGACGAGCAAATTATTAAATAATTTAGAATGTAAAAAAGGACTCTACTGACGAGCAAATCATTAAATAATCTAGAACAAAATAAAAAAGGGACTTTACTGACAGGCAAGTTAATAAATAATCTATTATTTAAAAATAGGACTGTACTGACCAGCAAATTAATAATCTAGAATATAAAAAAGGGACTCTACTGCCGAGCAAATTATTATTCAACCTTGAATTTGAAAAGGGACTCTACTGACGAGCAAATTATTAAATTTAGAAAAATATAAAATAGGGACTCTACTGACGAGCAAACTATTTTGAAAAAAAAAATCAACAAAATAAGGAATGGACTCTCCATTAGCAATATAAAAAAATAAGACTTTACTGACGAGCAAATTAAACAATAATCTAAAAAATAAATAAATAAAACATTATAATCTTCATAATTAAGTTTTTTGCAATTCCTTATTGTTTTTGCAACTTACAATTCTGTTTACAATGCTCAATATTTCAAGTAATTTTTAATTTTTTTTGGAAACTTTTAAAAACTTTCCAATCTTTAATTGTAATTTTAATACATTTTGCAAGTTTCAAAACTTCTTACAATTTTCAATGCATCTTAATTTTTATCATTTTTTATAACATTTTATACAATACGATTTTTTACACTTTTTGAAATTGTCAAAACGATTTTTAAGTTTCAATTTTTTTTGCAATTTTCAACATTCGACACTTTTGTTTTCAATACTTGGAACAGTTTTCGAAATTGCTTTCAAAAATGCTTTTGGATCGTGCACAAATTATTATAGATATAAAATTCAGATTAAAATATAATCCACATTCATCAAGTATTTAGCCACATTATTAATTAACATCACTAAATTATTATTATATTTGTTTAAAAAGCAGTCTTTATTAATATATTATTATTCTCCACTATAATCTATATTGAAGATCTAAATCTGCATTGTTTGTTCGAAAGCAGTCTTTATTTATCAAACACTTATTATTATTAATATTTCAAGAACAAAAAAATCATTTTGAAGGTCATTGAAGGTCAAACACATTTTTAAAATATTTTTGAATCAAGTAAATTTTTTTTATTTATAGTAAGCAGTCTTCGTCAAAACTCAATATTAATATTTTAAGAACAAAGAATTTGTTTTGAAGGTCATTGAGGGTCAATGACCTAGAACACCTTTTTAAAAATATTTTTGAATTACCCAAAAAATTATTTTATTTGTACAAAGTAGTCTTTATTTATCAAACACTTATTATTTATTTAAGAACAATGCATTCATCTTGAAGGTCATTTGAAGGTCAATTGAATGTCGTTGAAGGTCAATGACCTCAAACACTATTTTCCAATATTTTTGAATGACGCAATTTTTTTTTGTTTATACAAAGCAGTCTTTCACTATCAAACACTCATTTTTACTATTTTTATTATTTAATCGGCTAAACACAACTCTCGGGCACCCTGCTGGCCATCAGACGATCCGTTATCGTCTGCGTGTTGAGGTCGATATCGCTGCCGCCTGATGTCAATTTTTTAGGCAGCAACAGGTCCTTGGGCCGGGTGTCCCAGGCTCCACCGGTGGAGTCACCATACTAGAAAAAAAATTATTTAAGTTAGAAAAATGGATTTGGATTTACCATACCAGAAAAAAATTAATAAAAAATTAATAAAATCACTGCCCTATCAGTAAAACATTTTTATTCGATCTTGCCCCTTTTTCCGCCACTAGTTAATCCTAAAATGCATGAATATTCATGAAAAACAAAGCCCAATGGATGTAAGTCGGTAATATTACAAGGAGCACGAGAGAGCTTTTACATAAAATACGTGTAATTGTGCTAAAGATAAAAATAAAATCGTAGAGGCCTAAAATTGACTCGAGGCACGCACGAGGCGGAGGAAAAAAGGAATTATTGAGGTTTTTGGTACAGAACAATTACTGTGGAGGAAAAGTAGTTGTTGAGCTAGAAAAATTCACAGTAAATGATATAAATAGGAGTTGTACTAAAAAGAAATCTATATTGCATTTTATTAAAAATGAATGAATTTACCTCTGTCCTGGAATTTCTGTTAGATTTCCAATGATGGGGCCTTCCAGGGCCGGATCGTAACACCGGTTTGGCGAATTCGCTATCGGAGTCTTCTTGAAGACCATTTAGCTCTAAAAAAGAAAAATAATACTAAATGTTAAAAAACTAGTGGTGTATGGCATCGTGCCTTAAGGCAAATTGCTGGAACTTCCCGAACCGTAACAAAATGTTCGAGGAATACTAAATGTTTTCAAATATATTATTACAAATACTGTAACTTTCATCATTTCTGCTATCTTGTTATATCTTAGCAAATCAAATGTATATCATAAATCAATTTATCTCCCGGAATATTAACAATCGTCATTTCATTTCGAATTCAATTTCAAAGAAAAAAATAGTTGCCTAATTTACACAAAATTAGAATATAAAAAAGGGACTCTGCTGACGACCAAATTATTCATAATCTTGAATATAAAAAAGAGACTTTACTGACGAGCAAATTATTTTTTAACCCAGAAATTAAAAAAGGAATTCTACTGACGAGCAAGTCATTGAATAATCTAGAAGAAAATAAAAAGGGAATCTACTGACGAGCAAATCATTGAATAATCTAGAAATTGAAAAAAGGGAGTCTACTGACGAGCAAATTATTACATAATCCTGAATATAAAAAAGAGACTTTACTGACGAGCAAATTATTAAATAATCTAGAAGAAAATAAAAAAGGGACACTACTGACCAGCAAAATTATTAAACAATCTTGAATATAAAAAGGGTCTCTACTGACGAGCAAATCATTGAATAATCTAGAAATTGAAAAAAGGGACTCTACTGGCGAGCAAATTATTAAAAAAAATCAGCAAAATAAAAAAGGACTATACTGATTAACAAATTTATTAGCAATATAAAAAAATAAGACTCTACTGAAGAGCAAAATAAAAAATGATCTAAAAAATAAATAAAAAATTATAATTTTCAATATTAATATCAAAATTGAAAAAGTGCTCCCGTATAGTCACAGTCTAAACGCATTTGCAAATAATTCTGTGCGACATTTTCACTTATACTGCGCTTAGCTTGGCGGCATTTTCACATTTTTCAATAGTTTTCACCAAATTGGAAAACTTCTCCAGTACATAAACAGTCTAAACGGACTTGGGTAAACATTTGTACCAGAATGGCGCTTAGACTGTGCTTAGCCTGGGTAATTTTTTAAATTTTTAATCCAAAATTACAAAAATATTTTATGGAAAATAAAAAAGGTTTAATAATTTTTTATCCTCAAAAGCAATTGTTTTGTCAATACAATCAGAAAGTTTTTTAAGATCATTCAAATCGGACGCTTAGTTCACTGAAAAACTGCCATTTTTTGCACATTTAGCTCTGTATCTTCGAAATGGCGGGACCTGTCTTTGTCAAAAACTAATCACCTCTTCTCTCAATCATTACAAATTGAATTGTTTTTCAATCATTCAAATCCGATACTCCGTTCTCTCAAAAACTCGATATCTATTTTCCGCACTCTTTGCTCCGTATCTCCGTAACGGCTGGACCTGCCTTTGCCAAAAACTAATCAGCACATCTCCCTATCAATAGGAATCGAATGTTTTCTGAACCATTCAATTCGGTCGATCCGTGCGCCCTAAAACGTGGACAAAAAATTTTATCCATACATGCACTCACATAGACATCAATTTTTTCTGAGGTATGCCAAAATGTTCAGAAATCTTCAAAACGTCGAGAAATGTAAAAATTTTCGATTTCGATTTTTGGACGATTACAATAACTTACCCTACGGCAAGCTAAATAAATTCATTAATCCTTATCAATTTAATAATTCCATCCAACCCATCCAACAAACTATATTCTGAGAAACTTTCTCTATTTCTGACTCGTCTCAATTTTTTTTTTAGAATTGGAAACCGTTTCTATTTCTCCAACAGTCCTGTTGCTTTCTTTTTTTTTTCTACTGTTTGATTTTAAAATTGAACACGTCAACGTGCGCGCAGTCGAAGAATCGAAATGTCGAGAATTTATAATAAAATATCCAAAAGAAGAAAATTTATATATATATATATATATATATATATATACATATATATACTAGATGACCCGACAGACGTTGTCCTGTACCCACGTCTACAATTCAAAAGTTCCAAATTTTTTAATATCCTATCCTATACTTTTTAATATCCTATTTGATGTCCTATTGCCTTTGTGATTCATTTGTGGTCTTATCATAAGCAGTTTAAGAAATTCAGAATAAAATAATATATTATCTACGGTAAAAAAATAATGTCACACTAGATTTTACCACACATTTTTTTTATTTATTTGTTGATGATTATACTTATTGCTGATATTTAGAATATAAACACGTCAAATACTCTATTTAAATAGGTATAATAAACAAATTTACATAAAAACCTAAGTATGTAAATAATTACATTCCCATTTTCAAGAAATAAATTTCTTCATCGTCCATCTGGCATCGCTTGCGATTATTAAGAATTAATTTACTTGCCACTTCGTAATAATTTTGCGTGGTTATTAAAAAATTTATATTATTCACGTAATAATTTTCCAAAAGTGGTGATTAAAAAATGCATATTAATATATTTGTATCAAAAGTCAACTGTCATTCGGTGTTTTTGAATTGAAAGTAAATGTCATGGATAAAATCATTGATAGAATCATAGGACTGAATAAACTAAATGAAAAGTTTATAAATAATTATTTTTGTATTAGAATAAAATAAAGGGATAAAAACGTAAATAAGTATCCTATGTCATTCTCCTGGCTCTAAACTACCTCCCTGCCAATTTTCATCTGAATCGGTTCAGCCGTTCGTGAGTTATAAGTGTTCTAACTTAAGCGATCCTCTTTTATATATATATATATATATATATATATATATATATACATATATATTCATATTCATATATATATATTCAAAATTATCAATTACTATCCTTTATCACTTACCGTGTTTCGCCGGAATAACGTCCGGATCCGGATCGTCTTCGTTCGTGAGCACCGGAGCGTCCTTTCCCGCCGGAATCCAAAGTTTGTCCCTAGTCGAATCCCTTTTGAGTTTGTACAAGAGCACCAGAAGGGCTAAGGACAGTGTCAGAACTACCCCCAAACCTGCTCCTAATAAGGGCGAGAGAGAGATGGCGAAAGCGCTCGCTGGAAGGGTAGAAAAAGACGGGGATAGGTTAGAGTTTAGAGATAGGGTCCTTACTTAAACTTGGTTTGGTTGGGTGTGTTTTGAAGTTTTTGGATGAATATTTTTTCTGGAAAATTTAGTTGTTTTTTTGTAATTAAGATTTTGAGAACATATTTTGATTTAGAATTAATGTATGACAAATATAGCTACTAGAATTTATTTTCAAATTTTTAGCTTTTTATAGAAATTTAAAAAAAAAAGTTTTTTTTGGTTTTAAAAAGCCCATGAAATATCTAAGTTTACTTTTTTTGAAAAAAAAAATCATTAAATTTTGATAAAAAAAATTGTATTTTGTTCAAAATTTGTTTTTTTTTGTTGGAAATTTATGTAGTTGTTGAAAATTTTGGTCATTGTTGGAAATTTAGATTTTTGCTTGTTTGTTGGAAATTTGGATTTTTGTTTGTTGGAAATTTAGGTCATTGCTGGAGATTTAGGTTATTATTGTTGGAAATTTGTCATTTGTCATTTTTATTGAAAATACAGGTCATTTTTGTTGGAAATATAGGTCATCGTTAGAAATTTGGATTTTGTTGGAATTCCGAATTTCGCCAAATGTTTGGATTGTAATTTTATTGAATTATTAAATTATTAGAATTTTTATTGGAAGATTGTATTTTTGTTGGAAATTTAGGCCATTGTTGAAACTTAGGCTATTGTTGAAAATTTTGATTTGAAAATCAGAATTTCGTCGAATGCTTGGATGGTAATTTATCACTTTTTTGGGAAATTTAAGTTTTTGATGTAAATTTCATATTTGTTGGAAATTCAGGTTTCTGTTTGAATTTTGAATTTTATTGTAAATTCTAAATTTTGTCGAATGTTTGCATACGAACTTATTATTTTCGTAAATCATTGGACGTTTGCTGGTAATTTAAATTTTTGTTGAAAATTTAGATCGTTGTTGGAAATTTTGGACGTTGTTGAAAATTCAAATTTTGTTGGAAATTTAAAATTTCATAAAATGTTTAGATTGTAATTCATTATTTTTTTTGTTGGAAATTTAGGTTTCTGTTGTAATTCAGAATTTTATTGAAAACTCGGAATTTTTGTCTCTTGTTTGTTTTAGAACCTTTAAATTATTGGATGTTTTATGGAAATTTGGATTTATGTCAGAAACTTGAATTTTAATTGGGAATTTAAATTTTTAAGAATTTAGATTTTTATTGGAAATTTGGATTTTTATTGAAAATTTGTATTTTTATTGAAAATTTGTATTTTTATTTGAAATTTGTTTTTTTATTTGAAATTTGTATTCTTTTATTTGAAACTAATTTTTTAAGTTACTAGATGTTTTTTTGGAAAATTGGATTTATGTCAAAAATTTGAATTTTAGTTGGAAGTTTAAATTTTTATTAAAAATTTGCATTTTTGTTGGAATTTTACGTTTATGTTGGAATTTTACATTTTTGATGTGAATTTACGTTTTGTTGGACATTCTGAATTTTGTTATGAATTTTGGATTTCATCAAATGTTTTGGTTGGAATTTAATATTATAATTATTGGACGTTCGGTAAATTTAGTTTTTTGCTGGACATTATGTTTTTGTTGGATTTTATTATTTGTAAATTTTGGTTCTTACTGTAATTCTGGATTTCGTAAAATTTTTGGATTGGTTCCAATTGATTTTTTTAAATCATATAATTTTCATAAGTCTAGTTAATAAATCATTCTACTTACCCATATATTGGTCAGAATCCGTAAACATCACTTCATCGATAATAAACGGTGGAGACCTCCCCTTTGCATTGATCGCAAAAATCATTATTTTCAATTTTATATCTTGCTCTAGGGCGTACAGGTAAAAATCAGGAGTGTCTAAATTCGTTTGATTATACCTGCAAGGATAAAAATTCAAATAACTTCTTAAAAATCTATTTCAATTTATATGTTTATTTTTTTACCTCGGTTTTCTCGACTGTCCGGAAAATATTTCCAACAAAAAATGCTGAGGCAGTCCTCCATCGTAACCCGATTCGCATTCGATTTCTGCTGAATCAGCAGTCTGGTTGAATAGGGAACAGTTTTTTGGAGACGTAGGTATTCCTGAAATTTAAAAAAAAGAGTGCGTGTAAGGATCACACGCGATTGAAGTAAAACTTATTTGCTACTGTACAAAGTAGCAAATTTAAGTTGAGTAACAATAAATACATCATATAACAATTTTGAATAATGTTTATTAGTAATATGGTAACACTCGTGATGCACACATTTATTAGTGTCGACAATTATACACATTTGTATAATCGTAAGTTATAAATTATATATTTATGATTGCATTAAAAATGTGTATAATATTTAGAAACAATCGTGTAATTAAAGTCGTACTTTAAATTTGACATGATCGGTTTAAAGTAATTGCTAATTAATAAGTTCTATAAATATTCGTTCACACAGTGGATTATGTTAAACAACGCCTAAACAAATATTGTTTTTGCAAATTAACTCATCCTGTAACAATTGTGTTTGAAGAACTTCATGTAATTAAAATTAACATACATTAATTTACTGTTTGTATTTTTTTACTTTTTCGCTGACGATATAATCTCATTCCTTGAACAGCTGTAATATCTGTCTTGCCTAAAAAATTGAAGCCATACTTTTATATTTGTTTTATTTATCAAGCTCTGCACATAGCTTGATCTATGAATCATTTGCTTTTTTATGTGAATATTAATGCAATGATCATCATCAATATTACGAGGTAATAAATTAACCATATCATTAATGTCAACAGGCACATTTATAATTTGGCCGAATATTCCAAATTGTCCATTTGCATGAAACACAAACTAGGTGAAATTAACCTTTCAGATACAGTACCTAATTTAGGTAGATAATTTGGTATAGGTGGAAATACAAATGTGTTAAATTTACACAAAGTAGGAATTTTACCCGAATTTAATGCCTTTCGACAAGTTTGACATCCAACCTGATTATTTGAATCAATATTCAGAAAACCATTATCAAGAATTTGTTTTTGAGCATCATTTGATATTTTTATGCAACTGTAGTATCTGTTTTGCCTATAAAAATAAAAATAAAATTTTCCATTTTAGTAATAACCTCAAAGGTATATAGTAACTTCGAAAAACTCGAATAATACAAATTATTTCAATAAACTTACATTTCTTACGCAGCGCAGATTTTTCCTTTGTTTCATTATTTATTTGCGATCATTTGCACTACAATTATTTATAGGGGACGGGATAAAATATTCTTGCGATCCTGACATTTTTATTAACTCACGAATTATACTGCTAACCCATGTCGTGTCTAAAGAAGTTTTACTTCAAAAAATGTTTAGAGACTACGAGCTAAATACAAAACTCAAGTGAAAGTCGACACATTTTTTGTTTTTGTTTTTGACATATGATTCGACATTTGATGTATTTTTTGTTTTGCTCACAGACTAGATCGAATAATTGCGATAGCTGCGCTTACTAGCGTCGTAGTCTTCAACTTCACGTTGGCGTTTTCGTTGCATTTGTACGGATTTACACCCATGTCGTGCCTAAAGAAGTTTTACTTCAAAATTAATTAAAAATAAATTACAATAATGTTTTCAAAAATATCTCCTTTGATAAAACATTTCCAACGATATTAAATACCTTTCATAATTCCTTCTTTTAAAATTAAATAAAAATCAAAACTATTTCTCCGCTTTCGCATAGTTTACTTCTATAGTAAACTGTTGATTATAAACAAGAATTCAGTAGCGGGGGGGTCCTACTCCCCTGGGTAACAGCAGAATGAGGTGGGATGAGGGGTTCCCGTTTAAAACAGAATTTTCCGCTTCGAGTATCATCATCAAAGGCGACCTACATACTTGTCGTGCACCCGCCGAAAGAGGGGAGTGACTGTGGAGCGACGGTGGAGCGACTTTAACTATTTCTATAGAGGTGGAGGGCGACGGGTTAACGGGATGTCGGATATTGCCCAAGTGCGTAGATAATAGGGGAGCGGGAAAAGTGCGAGTGGAAAAAAGGTGGAATTTGAAGTGCCCTGGGGCAAGTTGTAGGAATTTTTTGAGTTTTGGAAATTTACTAGAGTAGAGAAAGTGGTGTTTTGTATGAAATATTTTTTTGTAAATTATATACTTTGTTTAAATATTTTGGAGGTGCCTGAAAAATTTCGGAGGTCTTTGGCTAGTTTTGGAGGTCTTTGGCTAGTTTTGGAGGTTTTTGGCTAGTTTCGGAGGCTTTTGGCCAGTTTCGGAGGCTTTTGGCCAGTTTCGGAGGCTTTTGGCCAGTTTTGGAGGCTTTTGGCCAGTTTCGGAGGCTTTTGGCCAGTTTCGGAGGCTTCTAGAAAGTTTTGGAGGCTTTTGGCTAGCTTCGGAGGCTTTTGGCTAGTTTTGGAGGCTTCTGACTAGTTTTGTAGGCTTCTGACTAGTTTTGTAGGCTTCTGACTAGTTTTGTAGGCTTCTGACTAGTCATGTAGGCTTCTGACTAGTTTTGGAGGCTTCTGACTAGTTTTGGAGTCTTCTGGATAGTTTTAGGCGTCTGTGGATAGTTTCGGGAGGCTTCTAGCAAGTTTTGGAGGCTTCTAAAAAGTTTCGGAGGCTTCTAAAAAGTTTCGGAGGCTTCTGAAAAGTTTTGGAGGTCTCTGACGAGTTTTAGAGGCTTCTGGCTAGTTTTGGAAGTCATTGGCTAGTTTCAGAGGTCTCTGAAAAGTTTTACAGGTCCCTGAAGAGTTTTAGGAGGTCTCTGAAGAGTTTTAGGAGGACTCTGGCGAGTTTTAGAAGTATATAATTTCACAAGACTTAAGATATTTTTAGAGATTTTGAGAAACTTTCAAAAAGGTGTTGGAAAACTTTTTTAAGGCCTCTGACTACTTTTGAAGGCCTCTGACTACTTTTGAAAGTCTCTGACTACTTTTGAAGGTCTTAGAAATCGTTTTCAAGGTCTTCGACTACTCTTAAAGGTCTTAAGGAACGTTTTCAAGGTCTCCGACTACTTTTTAAGGTTTCTGACTACTTTTAAAGAATTTGGAAAACTTCTCAAGGTCTCTGACTAGCTTTAAAGGTCCTGGGAACTTTTTTAAGGTCTCTGACTAGTTTTAAAGATTTTGGGAAACTTTTTTAAGGTCTCTGACTAGTTTTAAAGATCTTGGGAAACTTTTTCAAGGTATCTGACTAGTTTTGAAGGACTTCGGAAACTTTTTCAAGGCCTTGGGAAATCTTTAAAAAGATCTCGGGAAATTCCAAAGGTTTCTGACGACTTTCAAGGGTCTCTGACGACTTTCAAAAATCTCTGCCGACTTTCAAAAATCTCTGACGACTCTCTAAGGTCTCTGACGACTCTCTAAGGTCTCTGACGACTCTCTACGGTCTCTGACCACTTTCAAAGATCTCTTACCACTTTCTGAGAAATCTGACTATTTTTAAAGATCTTGAGAAACTTTTAGAGATCTCTGTCTTTTAAAGGTTTTACGTAACTTTCAGAGGTCTCTGACGAGTTTAAAAAGTCTTACGAAGCTTTGAATTCTCTAACGACCTTGAAAATTCCCTGACGACTTTAAAGCTCTTAGGAAACTTTTATGAAATATAATAATAATTGAAAATTTTACGAAAGTTTTTGGAAACTATTAAATGTACTTAAATAAATAAAGTAAATATAAAAAATTTATATTCACCTTAAAAGTTTACTTAATAAAAGGCTAATTTTTGGCTTTATCGTTTTGAAAATATTTTTAGAATTCTATAAATATTTATCATTTATTATTTCCCCACTATTTTTTCCACTAGCCCTCAGTCTTTTACAATTGCTCAACGCAAACGGCAGCAAAATTAAATTTCGTCATTCAGAGTCGAAAACGAAACGATATCGTCGTGTGCCTTTTGAACTCGCAACCCGTCTATCCCCTAACTCTAACCCTTTGACCAATTCCCTCTACTCTACTCTACTCTACTCTCTTTTGATGTAATTAAGCACGGTGCATAGTATTATATAGTATACTGTAGTTTGTTGTAAATACGATATTACATACAGAAGGTCGGAACAGGTTGATTTTATGATGGAACAAACAAGAGATGAATAATTACACATATGGGATATATATATATATATATATATATATATATATATATATATATATAAATCTCGTGTCACGATGTTGGTTCTCGATGGACGCCCAAACTACTGAACCGATTTTAAATTTTATTGGCTCATCGTGCGCGTATATATCCATCTTAGGTTATAGGAATTTTTGAATAGTAAATTTGAAATATAAATATATAATTTTTATAAATTTCTAAAAATTTTGACAGAAAATGACCAAAAAAAACAAAACATTAAAATGACAAATGTCAAAATTTAAGGAAACTTCGATAAATAATTTTTGAAAAAAAAATTTGACATTTCAAAAAATAAAATTCAAAAACATGTACATATATAGAAATATCCAACATTTAAATCCAAATTTGATGAAATCCTATATTCAAAATCACTGTTTATAGTTTTAAATCTAATTAAAAATCAATGCTTAAAAATTTGAATAAATTTTGACATGTAGAAAAATTAAATGTCATTTGTCAGTATTTATGAAAATAATTATATAAATAGATTTACGATTTAGATTTAATTGATTAGCTTACCAAATTATTTCGGAAACGAAAACTTCATTAAAACACAGATCAAAGATCACAATAAAAAAGCGGCATATTGAATTTAAAATTAATAATAAACAAAATTTTGGCATTCCACAAAAAAAAATGTTTAACGCCTTACTTCAATAAGAAGCAAATCAATTAATTATTCCAAGTTATGTTATAGGCAAAATTGCCAAGCAAATTATAGAAACAGAACATTATTGTAAAATAAATATTATCATATTATATTAATTTTGGACCAAGAAGGAAATATTTTGACATTTATAAATTTAGTGCATATTGGATATATGAAATTGACATTCACTATTTTTCAATTAAATGCAAATGTAAAAAATCAAATATTTATATAAAAAATGTATATTTAGATAAAGATTCTTTAATTTAAAAAAAATTGACATAAACAAAATTAAAATAAACAAAACACTATGATGCGTTGGCACTAATTATCGAAATGTAAAGAAATTTGTGTAATTAAAATATAAAATTATTATCAATATATCAGTTAAGATATATTTTGATTGTCATCGCAAATGCTAATTTTACAGGAAATTGTTACCTCTTAAATGGAATAGAACAATCTGAGGGTATCATTGGAATCTGACAAAAACAAACTAGACAAACTAAATATTATATCATATTATATTAAATTTCGATCCAAAAGAAAATATTTTGACAGTTATAATTAATTTGAAATGAAATGCAAATGTCAAAAATCAGATCTTTATGTAAAAAAATATTTATTTCCACAATATTCCTGTGTTGATTCACCCAAACTTATGAATTTAACAATTATATAATTATACATTGATGGCCTAAAATAAATATTAATTTATTAACAAATAAATAATATTTGAAAGAAAATTTTATTGACATATATGACATGACAAAAGTATAATAAACAAAAAACTATGATGCAAATGAATTAATTTTTGAAGTATGAAATGTCAAATAATTTTGAAAATTATAACAAGTTTTTAACTATTTGTCAAAGAATCAGAGTCCAAATCTATTAAATATTTGATTTTTGGCACTTTTATTAATTTTTATCAATTTAGGCATATTTTTTATGGCAAAACAACGTTTGCCGGATCATCTAGTATATATATATATATATACACACACATATATCTTTTATTACCTGCAAACACGATCTGGAACATGCAAGGCACAATCTGTACCCCAACTTCATTGATAGCCCAACAGCTCAGAGACCCATAATCCTGGTCGCTGACAGGTGTGTACCTTAAGGTACTGGTTGTACCATTCGTCGAAAATCTTCCGGAATCGACGGGCAAGGTTTCACCGGAATTATTGAATTGCCACCGGAAAGCCTTGGCTCCGGGATCGGCTTGAACCGAGCACAAAACCAAAACTTCTTCGCCACGACCGGCGCCTACTATTGAGACTTGATCGGTTTGGCAAACTGGAGCATCTGTAAGGGAAAAATTGATAAGGAAAAAGAACTAGTGGTGTATGGAATCGTGCCTTAGGGCAAATTGCTAGTATTCCCCGTACCGTGATGAAATATTCGAGAAATTTTAAACGTTTTCAAATATATTATTACAACAAATACTGTAACTTTCATTATTTTTGCAAAATATTCATATATCAATTTATCTCCAGAACATTAACAATTGTCATTTCATTTCGAATTCAATTTCATTCTAAAAAAATAGTTGCCTTAATTTACACAAAATTGAAAAAGTGCTCCCGTATAGTCACAGTCTAAACGCATTTACAAAGAATTCTGTGCGACATTTTCACTTATACTGTGCTTAGCTTAGCGGCATTTTTTCATTTTTCAATAGTCTAGCGCAAAATTACATTTTTGTAATTTGTTTTATTAAGATTGAAATTAATATCCAAATTCAGATCTTCAAAGAAAAATATTTTTTGAATATTACATAAAAATTGAAATTTTGAAACAAAAAAATTGCTTTTTCGGAAAACTAATCGTTTCTTCTCACTGTCACAATAAATTATAAATCTAGAAGATAAAAAAGGATTCTACTGACGAGCAAATAAATTATAAATCTAGAAGACAAAATAAGGACTCTACTGACGAACAAATAAATTATAAATCTAGAAGACAAAATAAGGACTCTACTGACGAGCAAATAAATTATAAATCTAGAAGACAAAATAAGGACTCTACTGACGAGCAAATAAATTATAAATCTGAAAGATGAAAAAGGACTCTACTGACGAGCAAATAAATTATAAATCTAGAAGACAAAATAAGGACTCTGCTGACGGGCAAATAAATTATAAATCTAGAAGATATGAAAGGACTCTACTGACGAGCAAATTATAAATCTAGAAGTTAAAAAAGGGGACTCTACTGACGAGCAAATAATTAAAAAAAGCAGCAAAATAAAAAAAAGGACTATACTGATTAGCAAATTTATTAGCAATATAAAAAAATAAGAAACATACTGACGAGCAAATTGAAAAATGATCTAAAAAGTAAATAAAAAATTATAATTTTCAATATTATTATCAAAATTGAAAAGTGCTCCCGTATAGTCACAGTCTAAACGTATTTGAAAATAATTCTGTGCGACATTTCCACTTATACTGTGCTTAGCTCGGCGGCATTTTCACATTTTTCGCAATAGTTTTCACAAACTTGTAAAAGTGCCCCAGTACTTAAATAGTCTAAACGCACTTGGGTAAACATTTGTCCCAGAATGGCGCTTAGACTGTGCTTAACCTGGCTAATTTTATTATTTGAATTTTTAATCCAAAATTACAAAAATATTTTATGGAAAATAAAAAAAGGTGTAATAATTTTTTATCCTAAAAAGCAATTGTTTTGTCAATAAGCAGAAAGTTTTTTAGATGTACATTTAGTCCTATATCTTCGAAATGGCGGGACCTGTCTTGGCCAAAAACTAATCACCTCTTTTTCCAATAATTACAAATTGAATGTTTTTTACATTCAACAGTTTTATATTTGAAGTTCAAATTTAATTTGCTCGCTCGTAGAGTCCTTTTTATTTCCGAATTGCCTTTTAATTTTGATTATCAGTAGAGTCCTTTATTATATCTGAGACTTAAATTTTATTTGCTCGTCAGTAGAGTCCTTTCTTCATGTTTTATGTTGCTAATTTAATTGCTTGTCAGTAGAGTCCTTTTTTCAACTCCTAGGTTGATTTTTATTTTGCACGTCAGTAGAGTCCTTTTCTTTTTTTCTAGATCTAAATTATAATTTGCTCGTCAGTAGAGCCCTTTTTCAGCATCCATGTTGCCTTTTGATTTTGCTCGTCAGTAGCGTTCTTTCTTTATTTTCTAGATTTATATTGAAGTTTGCTCGTCAGTAGAGTCCCTTTTTTAATTCTAAATTAGTTTTCTCGTCAGTAGAGTCCCTTTTTTAATTCTAAATTAGTTTGCTCGTCAATAGAGTCTCTTCTTTAATACTAGATTTGTTTGCTAGTTAGTCAGTAGAGCCCCTTTTTTAATTCCAGATTAGTTTGCTCGTCAGTAGAGTCCCTTCTTAAATACTAAATTTGTTTGCTAGTTAGTCAGTAGAGTCCCTTTCTTAATTCCAGATTAGTTTGCTCGTCAGTAGAGTCCCTTTTTTAATACTAGATTTGTTTGCTCGTCAGTAGAGTCCCTTTTTTAATACTAAAAATGCGGACATAACACACACACACACACAAATCCATTTAGTTTCTGAGGTATGCCCCTTAAAAATGTTCAGAAACCTTCAAAACGTCGAGAAATGCAAAAAGTTTCATTTTCGATTTTCGGCCCATTACTATAACTTACTCTACGGGAAGTTTGAAATGTTATGGCAAGGCTATGGTTTATTATTCATTTGTATTACAAATTGTTTCAATGGTGGAGGAGCAAAAACGTTAAACGTTAAATGTTAAACGTACATTTTACGAAGTCGTTTTATTCCGAGTTGGTAATTATGATTAACGTAGCAGAAGGTCGTCGTCGTTTTTATTGTGAATAATAGTATCATGTTGCTTGAGGAGCAGGAATTAGGATATGTTGCGAATCGTATACAAAATGTAGAGAAAACAAGGTAAAAACTAGTGGTGTATGGCATCGTGCCTTAAGGCAAATTGCTGGAACTTCCCGTATAAAATATTCGTGAAATTTTAAACGTTTTCAAATATATTATTACAAATACTGTAACTTTCATTATTTTTAAATAATTAAATTTATCTCCAGAACATTAACAATCGTCATTTCATTTCGAATGCAATTTAAAAAAAAATAGTTGTCTAATTTACACAAAATTGAAAAAGTGCTCCCGCATAGTCACAGTCTAAACGCATTTGCAAATAATTCTGTGCGACATTTTCACTTGTACTGTGCTTGGCTTGGCGGCATTTATAAGAACTAAAATGATAGTTGTTAAATTGAGGAGGCTACATTTTAATATATCTTGTTTTACACTTTTGGACCGGTTCGATTTTTATTTATTTATTTATAACTTCTAAACAAATTGTCCGATTGTTTTGCAATATCCAGCAAATTTATAGCCAATTAAATTATTTACAACTTTTATTAACAGTAAAATTTTCTATCTCTTATTCTTTTATCCAAAATTTACATTTAAAAAAATTGGTTTTAAATTATGCAAGATTAATATATCTTACTTTATACTTTTGGACTAGCTCGATTTTTATTTATTTGTTTATAACTTCTAAACAAATTGCCCGATTGTTTTGCAATATCCAGCAAATTTTTAGTCAATTAAATTATCTACAACTTTTGTTAATAACAAAATGTTGTATCTCTTATCCTTTTACCCAAAATTTGCAATGAAACAGGTTGTTGTTAAATTTTGGAGGTTGCATCAGTATATCTTGCTTCACACTTTTGGACCAGCTCGATTTTTATTTATTCATTTATAACTTCAAAACGAAATGTCCCACCATTTTGCAATATTCAGCAAATTTATAGCCAATTAAATTATCTACAATTTTTATTAACAACAAAAATTGGTATCTCTTGTCCTTTTATCAAAAATTCACTTTTAAAAGGGTAGTTGCCTAATTTTGATGGTCACGTCGTACACATATATCTTACTCTGTCACTCTACACTGTCAGATACATGTTGCTCTCTTTCACACAAATAATATAAGAGGGACTCTACTGACGAGCAAATTAATAAAAATTTAAAAGAAAATAAAAATGGAACTCTACTGACGAGCAAATTATTACATAATCTTGAATATAAAAAGAAACTCTACTGACGAGCAAATTATTAAAAAAATCAGCAACATAAAAAAAGGACTATACTGATTAGCAAATTTATTAACAATATAAAAAATAAGACTCTACTGCCTAACAAAATAAAAAATGATCTAAAAAATAAATAAAAAATTATAATTTTCAATATTAATATCAAAATTGAAAAAGTGCTCCCGTATAGTCACAGTCTAAACGCATTTGCAAATAATTCTGTGCGACATTTTCACTTATACTGTTCTTAGCTTGGCGGCATTTTCACATTTTTCAATAATTTTCACAAAATTTATAAAAACGCTCCAGTATAGTCACATTCTAAACGCACTTAGGTAAACATTTGTATCAAAGTGAGGCTTAGACAGTGCTTAGTCTGGGTAATTTTTTGAATTTCTAATCCAAATTTACAAAATTTTTTTATGGAAAATAAAAAAGGTGTAATAATTGTTTATCCTCAAAAGCAATTGTTTCGTCAAAACAAGCAGAAAGCTTTATGAATCATTCAAATCGGACGCTTAGATCATTCAAAAACTGTCATTTTTTGCACATTTAGCACATCTCCCTATTAATAGAAATTGAATGTTTTTTGAATCGATCAAATCGGATGCTCAAATCCGATCTCTCAAAAACTCGATTTATATTATTTATATAAAAGAAATTACTCTACTGATGAGCAATAGTTGAACAAAAAAAGTTGTAAAGAAAAGGACTCTACGGACGAGCAAACTTTAACATTTGAGTGACGAAATATTTAATATAAAATTATAAAATTATAAAATTAAGTTAGATTCTGTTAGAGAAAGAACTCTACTGACGAGCAAAAGTCGAATGAAAGTTTCTATAAGAGAAAGAACTCTACTGACGAGCAAAAGTCGAATGTAAAATTTTGTAAAGAAAAGGACTCTACTACTCTAGAAAATAAAATAAAATTAGATTTTATTAAGAGAAAAGGACTCTACTGACGAGCAAAAATCGAATGTAATATTTTATAAGAGAAATGACTCTACTGATAAGCAAACTTTATTGACAAATTTAAAATAGTAATAGTATAAAGACTATTATTTATTATCATTATATATAATAATGTGGTCCTTAATATGGATATTTTCGAATTTGTTTGCTCCCAATTTCGATTTTTGGACGATTACAATAACTTACCCTACGGGATGTAAATAAATGAAATAGAAGTGAAGTTTAATGAAATAGAAGCGGTTTTAACCGGTT